GGGAGGGAGATGTTCAGTGCACTAGAATAATGATATTTTAAGAGGCTCTTGCATCTAAATATTGGCATAGCCTTCCTTGGTGTAAGACATCTCACGTAACAGGATCCTATGGGAACTTACTTAATGAAGTGAGTTGCTCAGAAAGGACTAATCAGGCAGGCACAAGAATAGTAGAAACCAGGATGAAATCTGTAGCTAAGCAGTGAAGATCAGCTATATGGGTCAGTAATAGGCTACAGGTATGTTTACACAGCAAAGAAAAACCCATGTCTGGCCCATGCCAGCCGACTCGGGCTGCAGAGCTCGGGCTCTGGGGCTGTTCCATTGCTGTGTAGACTTCTGAGCTCTGGGACTCTCCACCTCGCAGGGTCCCTTCCTGAGCATGGAAGTCTACATGGGAATAAAACAGCCCCAACAGCCCAAGCCCCACAAGCCTGAGTCAGCTAGCACGGGCCAGCCGTGGGTGTTTCGTTTCTGTGTAGACATACCCTAAGTGACTGCCAGTTTTCTGAAAGGATAGGAATGCCAGGACCTGTGTTCACAAGCCCTGTTAAACAAAATTATTTGTAGGTAGAGAGGAGATAACTGAAACGTGTTTTTGTAATTCACTGATATGTACTGTGAGGTAAGTTATGCTAGGACTTTAACCTGACCTTTGATCTGCAGTTTTTCTAAGGTTATATAATGTTACCAGGGTAGGGAGCATCATGTTATTGTATTCTATTATGTCATGCAGTGTTGTTTTGTGTTCAACGTGAGATAACATGCCAAGGCACCATGCATCCCAGGAGAACGTACCTCAGCCCATTGTAAAGCCTCCTAAAGTGAAACCCCAATAATTATACAATTCTTTGTCAATGAGCCAGGTCATGGTCCCAGTGAGGTCAAAGGCAAAACTCCCATCAACTTCAGTGAGACCCGAACTTGGTCTAATGCCAGCAGACACGCGGGATGGTTTATTTTGTTTACTTACTCATTGTAACCCCTCTCGGGTACTGTCGTTGAAGGAGAGAGTTGTACTATCACCTGAGCGGGTCTTTAAACTTCTGCATATTTTTCTGCATTGTTTAGATCACGCCGCTGTTAACAAAAGGAAACAAAGAACGCCCTCAGGAGCCTACCGCTGCCAGCAAGTCATCTTCCCACTCACGTGCAGTCCTCCAGGTCACAGTGAAACAGAAGTGTCGGGCGAAGAATATTAAAGAGGCCGTGCGAGTGGGGAAGCTTTTCACGGTTGACTTGGCTGGTTTTGAGAGAGCACCCCAGGTACAACTTGTGGTTCTTCAGCCTTAGTTCTTTGGCATGTCATGAAATGAGTAGATATGAAAAAGCTCACACTGTGCGTGCGTGCGTGCGTGTGTATTTTACTTTCCTGGAAAACGTGACTGCATGAGTATTTGACATTTTAAAACCATTGTGACTACAACATTTCAATTCAGGTGATGTGGGCCATGTATCTTTTTTAGTGCAGGAATTAACAAAATGCATTTAAACTTTGTCCTTTGTGTGGTGTTGACGTGTAGGCCCGTACAAAGACAGCTATGAATATTTTTTTCATAGACTGCATAGAGGAAATACAGATAGGAAATGCAGGAGATCAGAGCCAGAATGTTTCATCTGAGTGCATGACTCAATGCAAAATGTGAGAATTTGAAAATGATACCTAAAAACAGTGGCAGCTATTTAGAAAGAGGAGGAATGGTAGATTGGTGTCATTGATGAAGACAGTATGGATAAGTAGGTAGCTGGAAGGACAAAAAGGGATGGAAGCCAGAATAAATAGAACCTACGTGGAACACTGGATTGCAGGAAGGAAGAGAAGATAGAAAAGAGGACAGAAGACAATGAATTATTGGAAGGATAGACATGTTGAATACTGCAGCTAGAAGACAGAAAGGATGGATGTGCAAGACTGGTATGCAGTCTGTCTGAAAGACGGATGGACTCTTAGGCAAAGGGCTCAGAATGGTAGATGGACATCAAAAGGAAAGTGAAAATGTATTGATTAAATATGGAACTGGGTGAGAAAGAGGTGGATGAGCAGGCAGGAGAATTGAAGGCTTTGATCGCCACTTCTTGATACTGTTCATTACCATTGATGGGGATAGGTGATATTTAGATGGATGGAAGGAGATACTGAAGGAGAGGTGGCCAGATCTTTGGTTAGAGCAAAGCACTGACACTTTGCAGTACTAAAGGCCACCATCACAATTTGCCAAGAGCCCAAGGACTGCACTAAACATGTATGTATGTAAATGTACATGAAATTTTAAAATAGAAAACAACTAGACATATAACAAGCTGTGCAATTGGCAGGATGTACAAAACACACTACACACCATGGCATTTGCCTGTAATTTCCTGAAAGATGAATATAAATCTGTTGCTATTTGAATTAATCAGCAGTAAAAATCTACAAACGGTTAGCTTTGTCCTCACCCTGAAAATGTGTGATGAGGCTGGTGATGGTCCTTGGCTTAAGGCTCCAGGGACTAAATGCAGCATCCAGGTCATGGCTTGGACTCCTCTTGGTTGAAGGGAAAGTTTACAAATCAGTGGGAGGGTCAATGACAAGAAGGGTGGGATAAGCAGATGGCTGGATGCCATCAAGGCACTATATTTGGTTGGACTCAGGAGACCTGGGTTCTATTCTTGGCTCACCCACCTGCCTGCTGGTGACCTTGGACAAGTCACTTCACCTCTCTGTGCCTTAGTTTTCCCATCTGTAAAATGGGTAGCATGATGTTGACCTCTTTTGTGAAGCGCTTTGAGATCTACTGATGACAAATGCTATACAAGTTAGGCATTATTATTATATATCAACAGAGATACACAGAAATGATTGGCAGCTGAGGAGACCAGTATTGGACTGAATGGATGGAAAGATGTTTCCACAGAAAGATGTTAGATCTTCTATGTTTGCAACCCCAATTGCAGAAAACAAGTCATGGGAGGGTGATTTTTAGTTTACTGCAAAACATCTAATGGAGGCCGTGGGCCAGATTCAGTTCTGTTGTGAGATTTCAATGGACTCTGTACCCACTTATGTCAGAGCTGACTGGTCCTGGTTTCCACGTAGATTTGTGAGTGAAGCTGATGCTTTGAAATGCAGATCCTGATGTTAATGCTGCATGGGTGAATTCATTCCCACAGTACAACTCTGTCTTTCTGAAGTGACTTCTCTCCCTCTCCAAGCAGACTCAGAACTGAGGCAAGAGAATGAAGGAGGGAGCCCATATCAACCGCTCGTTGCTAGCTCTGGGGAACTGCATCAGTGCCTTGAGTGAGAAGGGAGGAAGTCAGGCCCAGTATGTCAATTTTCGAGACAGCAAACTCACACGCTTCTTGAAGGTACTGTTTGCAACTGGTTAGGAAGGTAATCGGTTGCTGGCTTGTATTGGTGCACAAGTCAGGTGGCACTTGAGAGCTGATCCTCATGTCCTGACCCCTTTATCCTTCTTAAGTTTAGGAAATCAGTCCAGGATCTTGTTTGGGATTTCAGATCCACCCAGTAATTTATTGTGACCACATTACCACAAAAAGAAGGGGTCAAGGTTTGGAAGTCCCGGACTGTGCTAGTGTGCTGTTACTGGTGACTGTGAACTTCAAAGGTGACTTGAGTAACCATGGCCATTTGGTGTATTTGTTTATGGATCCTAGGGTGCTTTCACTGCTTTGGGCATGAATCTCAGCCCAGGTACTTGGTGTTGATCCTACTGCTACAGCTGGTTGAAAAATATATTTAAACACACACACAATATTGAAAAAAAACAAACAACATTTAAAATAATGTGAAACACTTCTGGTATTTTGATGGAAACAGATTTTCCAGCAAACATTCCCAGTTAGTCAAAAAAGCTGTTTGCTGACAATGTTTTGACCAGCTTTTCCTATAGCCCTTAGTCGATATCCTCCACTGGAATCTAAATGAGCATTTTAATTAGTGTTTCTTTAAGGTCTGTATGTTTTCACTTAGTGTGTCTTTCCTGTTTCTTCCAAACACGCCTGGCCTCTGTTCTTTTAAAGCTAAACAGTGGAAATGTTGCATTCCTTTAGGACTCATTAGGGGGGAACAGCAGGACAGTTATGATTGCCCACATCAGTCCTGCCAGCATCTACTTTGAAGAATCTCGAACAACCTTGATCTATGCTTATCGAGCAAAAAACATCAAGACCAGGGTAAGCAAGCAGGCAATCCAAGAGCTCAATTGTGTAGACTAAAAGCATGCCATGGGGAGAGGAAGGTATGCTGGGGGGGAAAGGAGGATACAGCGCATGACAGGGGAGAGAGAGGGCAAGTGGTTTACACAGCATCCATGTTGGAAGGCTTGATGGGAGAGAGAACAAAGGCCGCCTGGTTGAAGGTGAAGAACACAGAAGAAAGCAGTGGGGAGAAGGCCTAACAATAAGGCAGGGAGTTAGTAACATGGCGAAAGGATGGGGAAGCAGGTGTAATGGAAAGGGAGAGGATAACGTACAGTGTACGGGTTGTGATGGAAGTAAGACAGCAATGCGTATGGCAAGAAGCAGTGGGTAGATACCATACTGGCTGAGAGGACAGCAGAAAGAAGTGGGTAGAGGGCAATGAGCAAGCAGAAAGGAGTGAATGGAGACAGAGAAAATGGAAGGCTGATGGGTGTGGCAGAGGGAAAGGCCTGCGGGGTGAAGGTAGATTGACACTGATATACAAACAAGTATTCCAGAGATTGAGGGTTCCTGAATCCCTTTCAGTGATCTAGGGCTCCTCTCCTAGGAAGGGATGTTTTATTTTACAGCCCTTGTGCTACGAAGTGACAGAGCAGGCTGTGGGATTAATGACCATGTGTGTTCTCACCACCAGATAAAACGAAACCTGCTGAATGTCTCCTATCACACTGCACAGTACACCAGCATCATTTCAGAGCTACGCAGGGAGATCGCGGGTCTGAAGGCAAAGACTGAAAATCAGGAAAAGGAGAAGAGTGCAATCGGCTCAGACCTCAGACGTACAAGGTAGAGCTGGGGGTAGATGCTGGTCATGTCAAGGTTCCATTTCTGTCTATTGTGCCTCTTTGTAATCATCTTGTTTATTGGAGTGATTATCGTACGCCCTCCATACTGTCCCTTTCATGTGTCCTTTAAAGGCATTCCTGTAGACGGGCTCTAGCTTTTCCAGCTGCTGATCATATATTTGTAGCAAATCATTTTTTTTATACAGTTATGATAGTATGGGTTCATCAAACTCTCCCCTCTAGTCTCCCTTTATCACATCTGAGTTGTCTGTCTCCTTTACAGAGGCTTTTTCAAGTCTTTTCCCTTGTCCCATCTTTACAGGTACAGAGCTGACACATGGTGCTTTTAAAAAGGTGGAAGAGGCAGCAATGTCTAGTGGTCAGAGCAGAGCACTAGGAGTCAGGAAACCTGGATTCCATTCCAATCTTTACTACTGACTTGCTGTGTGACTCTGGGCAGACACTTAGCCTCTCTGTGTGTCAATTTCCTCCACTGGAAAATGAGGTTTATTTGCTTTTGAAAAGGGCTTTGAGATCCTGTGATGACAATCAATATATAAGGGCAAATGATATCATGTAATTATTATTATTTTGCTGCCCATGCATCTCCAGGCTCTGATACTGTGTCAGGCCAGAAAGCTTTGTTTCAGTTCCTGGTGTACTTTGTTTCCAGAATAACTTTTCAATTGATCTCACCATGGGACATGTTCCTTCCAATAACAGAAAATAGTAAAGGTGTCTGATAGACAAGCCCCCTCACCCCAAAGGCTAGTAGATCTCAGCCACAAATACCCTGGCCCAATTTTCAGAGAAAACAGCTCCCAGGTAACAAGGAAGGGGAAAGCAATGCAACAGATTCTGATTTTCCTTCCCTGAGAGTTAGGTAAGTGCCCCTGCAATGCAGGCTTCTTCTCACCACTCCCTTCCAAGCAGCACCGATGAAAACTATTTTGGGGCTAACTGGTCATGATACAATATAGCACTTAAGTACATGTTGAAAGTTAATAGTCCCATTATCTTCAAAGTACTACACTACCACTGACCCAACAGATTGCTGAATAACAGAGGTTTGTATCAGGCATGTCTCATAACACATGGAATGGGTGATAGCCCCCAAAGGAATCTCTTCTGGGCCTCACCGGTCCCAAGGGATTGCTCTGAGATGCTGGCAGATTGGAAACAGAAGAGCTGTTGTTTTCTCCCACCGGAGGCGTACAGCTGGCAAGAGATGAACAAATTACGGGAGCAGCTAATCGGGGCTTTCAAGGAGCAAACAGAGATGCGCCGCAGCCTCATGGAGCTGGAGAACACCAACACTGAGCTACACATTGATACCTCCAGGCATTTGCTAACGATTACCGAGTGAGTACGACCACTGCATAGCTAGGCACTTACTGATGAGCACAAAGTTAATTAATGTGTGGCTCCCTGCCGTCACGATGAGAAACCCTAATGTAACATAACTGCAGCTCCCTGCCAAAGGCACTTAGGGTGTGTCTACATAGCAATCAGGAGGGGTGACTACAGCAGGTGCAGGCATACCTGAGCTAGCTTTGATTGATCTAGCTTGCTAAAAATAGCAGTGCACTGTTGGCGATACAAGTTAGCCGCCTGAGTACAGTCCTGCCTGGGACCCTGAGGACGTAGTCAGGCAGGCAGCCTGTGCCCCCACCGATGCCACCACAGCTACATTGCTATTTTTAGTGAGCTAGCTCAATCAAAGCTAGCTCAGGGATGTCTGCATGTGCTGCAATCCTGCCTCCCAATTGCAGTGTAGATGTAGCCTACGTTTTCAGTAAGAAATAGTGATGCAGATTTGTTTTTTTGGTTCATGCCACACACCAGTCTCATACATATGCATACAGAACAGCTCACATAACTGTCCCTTTGGCAATTGGTCTAGCAGTTAGAGTAAGTCTATGCACAAGATTGAACCAACAAGGAGAGAGCAACCTTCGAGCCTGATTATGCACAGACATGAGCATCTCTAGCAAAGTGCCCTCAATTCCTACTGCGGCACTGGGTTGTTACAGATGGAGCCCGTAAACAATGTCTCCTATCCAGCAAGAAGTCAGTTGTTCCCTGCATATCCTGCATGTATTCATTCCCCAGGGAGGGGAAGGGGTTCTGCAGGGCAAGAACTTGATGGCTATCACTCTTTCAGGGCTCTGCAGGGGAAGAGACTCCTTTAAAAATATCTAAATCTGTATCTGAGTTTGTTTGGAAATGAGACTTTTCTAAAAGGTAGAAAGGGATAAAACATCCATGGTAGTTCAACATGGTCTTGAGGCAGGAGAGTCGCAGACCGCTGGGCAGAATAACCTAATAGGGGCATAGTGATTTAATTGGGTGCTGCACTATGATAGGAAGAGGATTCTGCCATCTGGACACAAGCACTGGATCCCTCCTAGTGCTTCTGATGGGAGTGAGATAGCATGGTTGAGGTCAGGTTTCAACACGCTGCAGTTATCAGTTACAACATCAATACTGTATGTAGAAACTTAAGGCGGTGTCTTTCCTGAGGGACTGGATCTCCAGCATGGGAAGCTCTGTGGCTTTTAGCCCCCATTGCGAAATGTAAGCCAGGAGTTAGACTAGCTCTTCATTCATAGAGGCTGCATGTGGTCAAAAGTGTCATTGATACAAAGTAATACTACCTTGAGCAGGTGGGTCTGCCAGTTTTCTCCAGCATAAAGTTTAGAGCCACAGCTGAGAGTGCAAATGGTAGATTTCTCCCCCTTCCCCCCCCCCCCGCCTCTACACACAGCAGAAAAAAGCCTGTGTTCGATCACTCCCCTGGCCTTGAATTTTCATTGAAATCTATGTTAACTCGTGATGGCAAACCTGGATTGTTGGCCTTAACATCTGCAACTCTGAGGTATCACGCCCATGCTTCTGCAGGGGTACGCTTTCCCATTGTAAATAGAGCTAAACCAGTCCTTGCTATTGGACAAACTATGAGTTGTGGTAAGTTCTGAGTACCGTGCTTATTTGTTATCGGTCAGTCTGTTCAACACCTCTGTAAATTTTTATAGGACAGTTTTTCTGAAGCTTACCTGAATTTTAATCTCCGTTCGATGACGTATGTCCAGTAAATATCTCCATACAGCTGCTGCTACAGCAGCTTGTAGTGATGGCAGAGGCAGTGCGCCCTTGCAGTTTAAACATCTCACTGGAGACTCTCTTTATATCCACCCTAGAAATTAGGATGTTGTTTGCAGGCTGCTCTACGTTATGTTCTTGACCACGGTGCTGTCATCATTAGTGTAGTTTGTTCAGCTGTTGCCATACAAGAAGAAATGGGGAAAGCACCAGAAGACTGGGCAAATATGGCATTGGATCACTGGCTAACTAGCGTTTGACTGACTGTTGCTGGGCCCTTGGTGGTTAATGGTTTTCACTCATGTATTTTTGCTGGCAGCTGGGAACGAGAGAAGACTCAACATGCTCGGAAGCGTTATAACAAGCTGGTGAATGGAAAGGAAGATGAAAACATGGAGGAGGCAGACAGAGAAGTAGAGGGGGGCAGGTTCCCTGGAACCTCATGAAGTCACTGTAGCAAGAGAGGAGATCAATGTGCTGTTGGCAGAGCTACGAAAAACAGCAACCTTAAAGGTGAGAGCAAGCATAAAGCACTTACCTGACCTCTCCATAGCCTGGTCCCATGCCCCAGCTGGAGTACCAGGGTGGCTATGATGTCAACAGCGTAGTGGGGCATCACATGGAGGCAGAGCAAGCGCTTTAGATACTAGAGGACCTGAAAGAGGAAATAGAAAATGCACATGAGCGGTCAGCTCTGTGCAGAGGTCCCCTCGTACGCTTTGGCCACTCAGCAGATAACCCTAGTTCCGAAGGACATTGGGAGCCCTGTCTGCAGGTTGAAGCTGAGAGGTTGAGAATATGGTGTCAGCATACAGGCCGCTCTATAACACAGGCTTGTGTGACACTGCTGCACTTACTATGGTAAAACCAAGGGGAAGAGATTGTACCTGTATTTCCCTCTGGGATGCAGAGGGATATTTGTTATGAGTCATTGAGGAGAGTGGTTTTGGGCAATTACCACACCAGTATTTAAGATGGTCATGCAGAGATGTTTACAGCAACTTAGATATGGGTAACATGGATAGTGAGTGGATGTAGGGGCTAGGAATTCCTGAGCTCTAATCCTGGTTTTGTCACTGATTTCTTCTTACTTGGGCAAGTCACAAACTCTATCTCTTTTTCCCCACCTTTAAAATGAGGATAATCATGTTTCTGTACCTCCTTCTGAGGGGTGCTAGGTGGATTCCTTAGCCGGTGTTTGTATGGTACTCCAGTAATTCTTTACTCTTAGACAGCATTTCACATTGGTAAATTCTTCAGGCCGGGGGCTGTCTCCTCCTGTGTGTTTGGACACTACCTAGCCACATTGTGAGCAATACCAGAATGTGGATGGTCTTCTTCATCATTGCTAAACAAAATGTGCACATGTCCCATTTCCAGGAAGAGTGAAGTATAATCTCTTGCTGCAAATAGCTGGAACGGATCAGATACCAGAGCTATATCTTGAGCATTTAATAAATAAAAGTTAGCAAACCTCAGTGCAGACCCACGGTGCACGCAAACCCTTATCTTCCTTTTCAGTCAGAGCTGGAGCAGCGCTTAGCCAATGCCAAGAAAAAAGCCTCCCAGATGGAGAAGCTGTTACCCAAACAAATCACCAGTGAGGACCAGCGAGAGGTGCTGAGGCTTCTCTGCAAGGCTCATAAGCTGGAGGTGGGGAACACGGAGTTGCAGGCAAATGCCTTGTACAAGGAGAATCTGCTATGCCAGAAGGATTTTGTCATCCAGCAGCAGCATGGGCTGTTCTGCGAGGAAATCATTCAGCAGCAGCAAATGCTGATCAAAGGTAAAATGCCAGCACCACTCCTGCTCTGGAGTGAAAGCAGCTGATGACAAATGGGCAACATTAGAAATAATTCCATCTAGAGGTCTTCCTGCTTATGGGCCAAATTCTGCACTGTCCTCCCTTGGCTTTAACGTAAGCTGTGGGTGCTCAGCACCTTTGAAAAATCAGGCCAGCTGCTCCTTCTCCTGTGATCCCTAATTTTCTCCCTTCCCATCCCCACTCCAGGCCATGACATCCCTGTCCCAGAGATGCTGGGGATGCTGTATCAACTGCACTGCCGTGAGCTAGAAGAGGGGACCCTGACCCACCTGCTCCTGCTTCACTCTGTGTTGTCCAGCACGCTGAGGGTAAGGCAGAGCTGAAACCAGCTCAGCTAATTCTATTCAGTGTCAGGCTTAAGTACTTTTCTGGATTGGAGCCTCGATACCACATTGCATGCTGATTTGGGGGGGATGGTAGGTCAGTCACCATTCAGCAGATGGTCCTCTTCAGCCCACCTCCTGAGGAATGGCTAGTGTTCAGGTGTGACTTAGTGGAGATACTCTTGCTATTTAAAGGAGTACTTGTGGCACCTTAGAGACTAACCAATTTATTTGAGCATGAGCTTTCGTGAGCTACAGCTCACTTCATCGGATCTGATGAAGTGAGCTGTAGCTCACGAAAGCTCATGCTCAAATAAATTGGTTAGTCTCTAAGGTGCCACAAGTACTCCTTTTCTTTTTGCGAATACAGACTAACACGGCTGTTAGTCTGAAACCTGTCATCTTGCTATTTAGTGGATCTACATCTTGTTTGTCTCAGACCTTAAGGCCTACGGCTTCTGGAGGTTGAGAGGAACCAAGAGACAGCTGGAAGGGGCAGGGTATTCCCCTCAGTCCCTATCATGTTGGGTTTGAGGGATATGTATGCCCCTCACTGACAGCTATGACTCAGAAGATTCTGTGGCCAGGCACTCAGTTCCTACAGCGGAGCTCTGTGGAGACAGTACAGTTGGAGAGCCAGAATTACTGTGGGTAAACCTGCTTCCCCTGACAACCAAAGGTGTCCATCACCTCTAACGGCATCCTGGTGGCCTAAACCACAGCCAGCATTCGAACCCTAGGAACTCGTGGTCAGAAGGAAAGGGGAATACGTTGCCAGTCTCTGCTCATTTTGCAGATTTTGTGAGTATTTCTTGTGATAGTGATATTTTACTGGCAGCTTCTTAATGTCTTGTAATAACAGGTGGGACTCCCCAGTGGCAGCTCCTCACATTTATTATGACTCGTCTCCAATAAACCTGACACAGAATTGGTTTTCACTCTGAATAATAAACTTGCTGTCAGTCACGTTGATATACAGGAACCAAAATTATTCCAGACACTCTCTTTAATGTTATTGGGTGATGGCAGGTTGCGGCTTTGAATCCTGGAGAAGGAAACCACACATGCTTCATCAGCCAGCTTCCCTGCATTTGATTAGGAGGCTTGCTCTGTTGCAAAGGCTCCAAGAGTAACTGGGCATGTGTAGGAAGCTGTGCTGTGCTGTGGGTTGGTGCCTTTTGAGCCAAACAAAGCCCGTTAGGTTTATGGGCTGAAGGGTTTACAGACACAGATGAAGTGAGGAAATCCTCTTACATGCCCCTTGCTTTCAGATTTTTCTCTTTGCTCCTTCTTCAGTGCCAGGCCAAAGCTACGTCTCAAACTGAAAACAAAATACTTGTTGTAATGAGGGACTCAAGAGAGAGGGCAGGTGGCTGTTGCATTAGGAGATCTGTGTGTAAAGAAGCTGACTGAGTGAAGAGGGGTTTGTACTGAAAAAAAATCTACGTTGTGTCTGCCTACAGTCCCACCAACCTCCCTTTTTTCTGTGGCCCCAGGGTGGCTGTGCTCTGAATATAGCTCGGCAGCTGGACCTAAACAAAGAGGCCAGAAAAGGGCTATCTGGCAACAGGAAGGGTCTTCCTTGTGGAGCAAAGTTTGAGCTTCCGTCCATTGTCTTGGAGTCAGACAGGTGAATGCATTTCCATCCGTTCTGTCCACGTGCCCATCATCAGCCCCATTCTCCTGGGCCTTGCAGCTTAGCAGTTAATTACAGAGTGCGACCTATGCTGCTATGGCTAGAGGTCTGTTGACCCTGTCATTTTATACTATGTAACTTGCCCATTGTCTTTTCTGAGTTGGATTGTGCATGGCTGGTGTAGAGACTGCGGTTATATTTTCAATGTGGCCGAAGCACCAACTATCTGCTGTTATCGGTGGAGATATACTGTGCGGAGATCAAACCAATGACAGAATAAAACAGGAGTGAGAGGCAACTTGACAGACAGTACAAACAGCCAGCTGCTTGCATTGAGCTTTTAATGGGGGCTGGGCAGGGGAGAGGAAAAGGGAAACCAAGATGTTGTAGTAACATACTTACTAAGGTGAACATTGCCCAGTGATGCAGAGCCCAGCAAAGTCTCTCCAACGTGAGTCCTAAGCCAGACTTGGTTCCTAGGGGACAGATCCCCAAATGAGTGACCATGATAGAGGAACCCCCAGAAAAGGGAGCCAATAGGAAAGAAGTCCCTGTTGTATTATGCAATTGCTAGGTAGCTCTGTGTTTTAGTAGGAATTTTCTCCAGGGAGTGGGTGGGGTGAGGGGGACTTTGGTTGTAAACCAATCAGTGTGAAAGTGTTTAACCAATGTATATTAATGAAGCTCTTTTAAGTGGGTTCAGGGTCCCCTCAATGTTTCCCTGAGTTCTGAAATTCTCTTTCCACCCTGGATCTTCCCTCCCCACCCCTGCTTTTAAATCAGTCCTGGTTTCCCATACATTTTGGAGAAGTTAATCCAAACAGGTGTCTCCAAACACTCCAGAAGGGCTGACTGGCTTTCCCCTCTCCCTCTAACGGGCCAAGTGCCTGGCTCTTATACATGTAGTTCAATCTATTCACGCCTCCATGTGTGTGTTTTTCACAGTGACAGCTACAGATCATCCAAAACAACACCTACTAGGAAGCTGGGGAATCCAGATACTCATCTCAGCCCTACTTTCTTTTGCTTGCCAAGAACCCCACTGCACCAGGTCAGTACTGGCAGGCACCGGGTTCAAGGTCTACCGCCACAGTGAGCACTTTCCTCTGGCAAGAGCAGGGTGCATGCAGCAGTTGGACCCATTGTGGCTGCAAGTCGTATTATGCAGTGAGGAGTCCGAGACTAGTTTTCTAGATGAGGAAGATAAATATCCGTGTGTAATACATTCCGTTCCCAGAGGAATAAGGTATAGGCTGGGATCCAAGTGCCATGGGTTCTACTCCCACCTCCATGATCGACATAGGCAAATCACCTGATCTCTACAGGCCCCAGTTGTCTGTCTGTACAACAAGGATAGTAGTAATCCCTGCAACACAGGTGGGAAGGATAAATGAATGTTCATGAGATGCTCAGGTACTCTTGTGATGAGTCATATAAACACCTTGATAGATATAACATAAATTATGGGACAAGGAAGTGATATGACAGATACCTTTAGATCAATAGCCAGTTCCCCTAGACCAATGTATTTTCTACTCAGTGCATCCAAGGCACAAAGTAATATTTGTACGCATGTCTATCTGGAGGGAAGAAGATGATGAAGTGACTCTTGCCTGGGTGTCAAGCTTCTCTGACATTTGTGTTGATGTTGCAATACTCAGACCAGGAATGTCGCTTGTTTCCCACAAAAGCTGAAGCTGGATGGAGTCTGGTATTTTCTGGTGCCATATCATGTAATGAGGCCTTTGTAAAATTCTTTTAAGAATCTAATCACATATGATTCCTTTGGGGCTAATATGTGGACACTATGGGAGAGATGATGACATGGCCTATGCCTGAGTACAGGACCAAGAGGCAGTTACTCTTGGTTCTTATCCCAAGGCTGACTCCTTTTGTAACCTTGGGTATTTCCCTTACTCTCTCTACCTCAGTTTCCCATCTGCAAAAATGGATATACTAACATCTACCAACTTCTCTGGAGTGTGGTAGTGATTGATTGATGTTTCCAACATGGTTGGAAGATGAAAAACACCTTAAGTGTTAAGTAAAAAGCAAATCATAGCGAGGGAGCGAGGGAACCTGTTTTGGTGTAATGAGGCCCATGGTCAGAGAATAAAGCCTCCTGAATTGGGAGGTTTAAGTCAACAGAATCCTTGATGGTGTCTTTCAGCTCTGGAAAGCAAAGCATCGGACTCCCTCAAGCCACAATATGGACAATGTTTCTGAGGACCAGCTGCCCCGAGCTAAACTCTTCCAGGCGTTGAAGATCATGAGCAACTTATCCCATGCCACTCCTGCTGCCACAAAGGTCAAATTCCCCATCAATCACCATACAGGTAGGACCCAAGGTTTCCTATGTAAAAGGATAAATGGACACAAATCAGATATTAGGAATGGCAATATACAAAAACCTGTAGGAGAACACTTCAGTCTCCCTGGACACGCAATAGCATATGAAAGGCAGCCCATCCTGCAGAAAAAAAACTTCAGGACCAGACTTCAAAGAGAAACTGCTGAGCTTCAGTTCATTTGCAAATCTGACCCCATCAGCTCAGGATTAAACACAGACTGACTGGCTCGCCAACGACAAAAGCAGTTTCTCCTCCCTTGGTGTTCACACCTCAGCTGCTAGAAGGGGGCCTCCTCCTCCCTGATTGAATTAACCTCCTTATCCAGAGCCTGATTCTTGCTTGCATATTTATACCTGCCTCTGGAAATTTCCACTACATGCCTCCGACGAAGTGGGTATTCACCCACGAAAGCTTATGCTCCAATACGTCTGTTAGTCTATAAGGTGCCACAGGACTCTTTGCTGCTTTTACAGATCCAGACTAACACGACTACCCCTCTGATACAAGGTTCCTGATGTGACTCCATATCCGTATGGCTGCAACATGTGGATTAGTCTTTGAGAAACAAGCCGCAGCAGAGGTTTATGCCGAAAATGAACTTATCTAGGGAGCCTTATACTTATGCACAAAAGCTGTGTTTCAGGTAGACTTGATGGCTCCTGATGAGTAATAGGATTTCAGAAGCGTTTCCTCTGGAAGTCGCTGGCTCAAATCTGTCCCCATACTGCAGTGACCAAAAGTTATCATCTCACTTCTGTTCAGCGTCATATATGAAACAAGTTATTGGTTTCTGACCAGTGCCCAGCAGACAGGTGTCCACAACTGGAACCAGCTGACCTCCATTTTGGCATCCTCAGCAGAGGCCAAAGACTAAATGAGCCTGTGGTATAAGCACCTCACAGCCTGAGGGCTAGCCAGTCCAGGTCAGGCTTGAGGCACATTGTGCTCAAATGCTACACCTGGTCTGTGGCTGAACACAGAGGACTTCAGGGTGGGATTTTCAAAGCTGGTTAGGGGAACTAGATGCCCAATTCCCATTAAATTTTAACTGGAATCTGGCATTCATATCCCTGTGGAGACTTTGAAAGTCTCAATCCCCATCCTGCTCCCTTCCACCACTTCTAAATTCTTTCCTTTTTAAGTTTGTTTCCCACTGTTAACATTTCATTTGCAGCCCTTCCATTTATTTCAGCTGGTCCGTTAGTGAATCCTATACTGAATTGTCATTGCTTACTGCGTAAGTTGTGTTCCTTTCCCACTATTTCTAGTACAGGTCTCTGTCTTTCTCTCTCAGGCTATCAAGAAGAAAATCCATTACAAGTGCTGGAGATAGGCAACACTCCCCCAAGCACCGTTCAGCAGAGCAATGCAGGTCAGACCAGAGGCCAGGTCCTACAAAAGCGAGTCAAAGGTCAGTATGGAAAACATCAATATTCCGCTATTAAATATTTCCTTATGACGCTTGCTCTGTAGTAGGCCTATCTGAATGTGTTATAGATGCCCCACAAACTGCTGGCTTGGAAAAGCAATCCTGTGGGTATGTCTCTTACAGCCACATTTTCAAGCCACACACTTCAGCAGACAACTCGCAATATTCCAAACATCTAAGTTACATTCCTCCTCCCCTTTGGCCAAAACTAACTCCTTTGTGGGGAGAGAACATTTTCAGATGTGTTCACAATCCCCGTCTGATCCATGTAGGAAGCACTGCTGTAATATGAACTAGCGGTATGAGAATATGCTCCTGCTATTTAATGCATTGCACTAAGATTCTCTCAAATGTTTAATTACAGGTTTCAGAGGAACAGCCGTGTTAGTCTGTATTCGCAAAAAGAAAAGGAGTACTTGTGGAGTGAATGAAAAAGGTGGCTTTCCATCTGGACCCAAAATAAACTGTATCTCTTTCCACCTCTGACCAATGCTGAGAGTGCCTCGTGCCAATCAGGGAGGTTCAAGGCTTAGTGCTTCCTTTACTCTGGGACACTGAGGCAAGACACTTCTCCTGTAATATGATGATAAAAAACATCTCAATCTTCCTTCGCACGTAGGGCCCGTAGATGGTGCCAGCAACCAGCCGAAGAAGCAACCCATCACAAGCTTCAGGAACCTGCCAAGATCAAAATAAAATCACCAGTGAGAGCAAGATTCCATCTGTTCCCGAGGGACAGGGACTATAGGGGTTCTAAAAAGCAGGGAGGGTTTTTCTTAAGATGCATTTTAGGCAGTATGCTCTGAGGCTGGGAAGCAGAAGGGGTGGTGTGCACACTGCTTGGTGCTTTCCCCCACAGCCTCCCTACAGTTTTGTTCTGCACTGTGCTGCAGCTGTTAGTTTCCTTTAAGATGAACTGTGGCTTCTTTTGTTAATAACATGCAAAAGAAAAGGAAACCCCTTTTGTCCATCAGCATTCTTAGTCCCAGGAGACAGCAGTATGGAGTCTACCATCTGGTACTCTGCACGAGGCGCATCCTCTCTTTACCTGTGGAAACCTCCCACACGTGGCGGGGGGGGGGGGCTATTATCAAAAGCAATTGCAGACTCTTTTGAAGTATCCCCTGCCCCCTTCTCTGAGGTTTATACACATTGCCTTGGAGCTGGAAAAGGTGAAGCCTATCTGGAATGCTGCTCAGCAGAGCAGATGTTTGGAAGTGGGAGCAGCCAGCGGCATTCTAAGCACTTGGCCACGTGCAGAGCATTTCAGATCTGACGGGAGTTTGAAAAAGAGTTTTGGTGGCTGGCAGAGACTTTGTTATGAGCTGGGTTGGAGGTGAACAAAGGCAATGTGTTTTTCTCCTTATAAACCAAACCCCTCTTTCCTGCAGTTCTCCCCCTGGTTTCTTGGAGGGACATGCATTTTGTAAATCAATACTAGACTTACCATTTTCCTTTCTTGGCCCTGTTATTTTCTTCACGTTGCAAATAAAGTGGCACAGGGCAGCCATTCCATTGAATAAATGTGGCCTTTATTCCCCAAATATGAATATCTTCTCTCCACACCCGCTTTGCCACCTGCTGGGTATTCAGTGCAAGCATGTAAGGAACTGTCATCTTTAGGGCTTCGTTCAGTTTCAAAGGGGAGGTAAGTTATGAAGGGTCTTTGTGCGGCTAAAGCACAAATGGAGTCAGGATGCTTAGATGCTGTCCCTGGTTCTGCCACTAATTTACTATGCAACCTTAGGCATGTCACTTAACCATTCTGGGCCTCTGTTTCCACATCTGTCAACTAGGGATGATGATAATCCACTACTTCACCTTGGAGTGGGAGGCTTGATTTGAGATCCTTGAATGGAATGCAATACAAGTGCAAAGTAAGTAAAATGAAGAATTATTCACTGTTTCAGTATAATGTAATAAGGTCTGATGGACACTCCTCTTTGAATTCTCTGTTAAACAGCAGAAAGCCTGATAAGTCGCATTGTAGACAAGAGGGGCCAGGAGAACTTGCAAAGAAATAAAAAGCACACCTAGATAAAATAAACACAGACCATGTGAAAATAAACCCATTCCAGCAGGCCTTGAGCCAGTCTTGTATTTACAGGACACCATGTGAACTAGGTGGGAGCAAGAAACTGAGTGCGATGGATTATCATGAATGTTCCAAATGTGTACATCTCTGCTAAATACCTTTGGGCTGCTTCACTCTGAAAAGTCACAGTGTTCAGAAGCTAGATCCTATTTCCCTCAGACTGCTACTTTGAATCCTGACACTAAGGCACTGGTTTGTGGACATAACTCAGACTGGAGGTTGCACATTTGGAAACAAATGGAAGCTGATGCTAATTTTCCAGGAACACCACACAGTTGAAGATGAATTGGAGCCATTGTATGCAACGCCACCTTTAAATGTTTTTTAATAATTTTCCTACATTTTAAAATCTGCAAGTTAAAAAAATATGACTGTAGCGATTTGAGAAAGACCTCAGACGCTTGGAGTCAGTAACTCTGTGTTGCTGCTCTGGACTCCGAAGAGTCGGTCCCCAGTCTCTTGAAGCTGAGTGTATCATAGGAGAGAGAGGGCACTAATGTTCAGAGCTCAGATGAATGACATTGCCTCTGACCTGGAATGACGGGCTCTCCTGTTCTTAAAAAGAAAAGGAGTACTGGTGGCACCTTAGAGACTAACCAATTTATTTGAGCATGAGCTTTCGTGAGCTACAGCTCACTTCATCAGATGTATGTTCTTGCCTTTTACGTGTGAGGAAAGAGACAAGAATTTAAACTCCTCTGGGCCTTTTGTATGATACATTCTAGGTGTGTTTAAATTAGGGGAGCCCAAACTTTTGTTCTCATGATTGACAACTTGCTGGAAGCCCCAGGGCTGCACCTAATTTGCACAAATGGGATTGCTTGTAGCTGCCTTCATCTTCACAAGAAGTGCAGCACAGCGGAGAGACCTTCCTCAGAGCAGGTCACTTCTAAGTGGTCTCTCTCCCCCAAAGCACCAGCCTGCAACAGCAACAGGCCTCCCTGCACAAACTGGTCTTGCTGTCAGTTCACCACTAGGCACTCACCATTCCATGATCCACACAAAACTAAATCCTTGCAGAAAATAAACTAGCCTAAATTATTTTTTCTCCTTCAAGATGGTTACAAAATCAGTAACCAATTCAACAATGAGGTTAATATAACTACTAAAAAGTTTTCCTACTACCAGTAACTTGTTGGAATACAGTTTTACAGTGCAGTGGGTTTCCCATAAATCTTTTAAGAGAGCTAAGATTCTTTTTGTAATTGTTATACCCATATTCGTCTATCTTTGTCTGCTTGAGAGGAAAATATGAGCAATTCTTGGCTTCCCATTTCCCACAGATTATTTTGAGTACCTGTTGCTATTGGCACCTGAGCCACAAGCAACAGATCATATTAATGGAAACTGCCTTATAATCTGATGCCAACTACAATCCCTCAGTCTCTGGCCTGGTTTACAGAGGGGAAGCTGTATAGCATTTTTGTTGGCTTGCCATTGCTGCTTGACTGACAGCACTTCAATTCAGATGCTACATACAAACTCTCCTGCTGACTTGAGTCCAGTGCAGAGGGGGAAGTTTTGTTTGCTCTTAGGATGCACATCAATATTTGAGAGAGAGCCACCCACAGGGATAAACAATTTAGTTCCATTAGGAAATATTTGCACCCTGAACGAGACATGGAAAAATCCCAGAGAAGGGAGCAGAACTGTCCCACTAGGCAATGCAGGGGAGAGGGACTGGGCAGAGAGTTGCTTTAAGGCGGTATGAATAGATCACTCAGTGAATGAGACTGAACAGAGAGGTCCTTCAGCCTGGATGGATGAACTCCAAATACTCTGGGCCTTTCTGCCTGGATCCATACTCTGCATTTATATCATGCCTTTCACATGAGCCTCAAAGTGCTTTACAGAGGCTGGTATCGCCCAGATCTTACAAAGAGGGAAAGCGAGGCATGGAAGTTAAGCAGCTCGACCCCGGCTGAACAGCAGGACAGTGGCGGAGTGGAGAACAGAAGCCAGTTCTCCCTCTCCCCCACCATCGTTAGAGCGGGTTGAATCCCCCTGGGCCCGTGCAAGGAGCGCCCTGCGAGTGAGAGAAGGGGGCGCAGCCGCTGTCGCAATTTCCATCCGACTGCAGCATTTGAACCCAGCTGGGCCCAGCGAGTCACTTCCACGTGCGATGCCCGGGAAGAGTTCGCCCCGGCGGCGGGCCCTGACTTTAAACCCCGCTCCCCGGCCCAGTCTGCACCCGCTGCCGGGCTGGGGGCGCCCTGAGGGGCCGGGGCCGGGGCTGGGGCGGGCGGCGGCGGCCAAGGCTCCGCTCCAGCCCCGCGGTGCAAAGGCTCCAGCGAGCGCGGGACCGAGTCTCCGCCGGGCGGCCGGGGCAGGGACCGGCCCGCAGGGGGCCCGCGGCTGGACCGAGCGGCGCCTGCGCTGCGGCCCCGCTGTCCGGACCCCCCGGCCGGCTTCTCGCGAGAGGCGGTGGCTCAGGGGGAGGAGTCGGGGCTGCAGCCGCGGCTGGAGGCTCCGCTAGCCGAGCGGCTCCGGGCGGAGGTGAGAGCGGGACTCGGGGCGGTGGCTCTGGCCGGGCGCGGGGACGGAGCCGTGATCCCCCACCCAGGGTGCGAGGGGTCTGCAGTGCCCCCCTCCCCTCTGGCCACAGCTGGCCAGCGGTGCGGGGTTCCCCCCTCCGTCCCCGGGGTGCAGTGCCCCCCTCCACTCCCCTCTCCTCCGGCCACAGCTGGCCAGCGGTGCGGGGTTCCCCCTCCGTCCCCGGGGTGCAGTGCCCCCTCCCCTCCTCCTCCGGCCACAGCTGGCCAGCGGTGCGGGGTTCCCCCCTCCCCTCCGGCCACAGCTGGCCAGCGGTGCGGGGTTCCCCCCTCCGTCCCCGGGGTGCAGTGCCCCCCTCCACTCCCCTCCGGCCACAGCTGGCCAGCGGTGCGGGGTTCCCCCTCCGTCCGGCCGCTGGCCAGCGGTGCGGGGTCCCCCCCTCCCCTCTCCTCCGGCCACAGCTGGCCAGCGGTGCGGGGTTCCCCCCTCCCCTCTCCTCCGGCCACAGCTGGCCAGCGGTGCGGGGTTCCCCCCTCCGTCCCCGGCCGGTGCAGGTGCCCCCTCCACTCCCCCTCTCCTCCGGCCACAGCTGGCCAGCGGTGCGGGGTTCCCCCTTCCGTCCCCTCCTCTCCGGCCACAGCTGGCCAGCGGTGCGGGGTTCCCCCCTCCCCTCCCCTCCCACTCCGGCGGGGCCCCCCCCCCCTCCCTCCGGCCACAGCTGGCCAGCGGTGCGGGGTTCCCCCTCCCCTCCCCTCCTCTCCGGCCACAGCTGGCCAGCGGTGCGGGGTTCCCCCCTCCCCTCCTCTCCGGCCACAGCTGGCCAGCGGTGCGGGGTTCCCCCTCCGTCCCCGGGGTGCAGTGCCCCCTCCCCTTCCCTCTGGCCACAGCTGGCCAGCGGTGCGGGGTTCCCCCTTCCGTCCCCGGGGTGCAGTGCCCCCTTTCCCTCTTGGCACAGCTGGCCAGCAGTGCGGGATTCCCCCTTCCATCCCTGGGGTGTAATGCCCCTCTCCCCTCCGGGCACAGCTGGCCAGCGGTGCGGGGTTCCCCCTTCCATCCCCGGGGTGTAATGCCCCTCTCCCCTCCTGGCACAGCTGGGCAGCGGTGCAGGGTTCCCCTTCCATCCCCCAGGGTGCAACGGCCCCTCCTCTCCTGGCACAGCTGGCCAGCGGTGTGGGGTTCATCCCTTCCCCCGATGGTACAGGCCGACAGCAGCGCACCTGGCCCTCCCCTCCAGGCACAGCTGGACATCGGTGCTGCTGATCTCAGGTTTATTTCTATGCATTTAATGCTAGGTCGGTTTTGTTAATGCGAATACTTATGGGGAAGCTCAGACGTACCAGTTCAGTTGCTCCTCCTGCTGCCCAGCTTCCTGTCTCTGATCTTGGTGGCCCATGTATGTGCAGAGGGATGGCTGTACGGGGGTGACTTGTGTCTGAAGCCACACTCCGGGCAGAAAGCCAAGTGCTGTGGGTGAGGCTTTCCAAGGGCGCTGCGTTGTCTGTGGTGGCCCTGGGAAAGCACAGAACGGGCTAGGAATGCTGCTGGCCATTTGAGACAATGCTTGTGAATGTGCGCACGGTTCCGGGGGGCTCTGGGCAGCATCTCAGCCTGGGTCCAGCCAGGACTCCTGGTATTACCTGACAGAGAGTCCGGAGGGTCCTGGAAGCAGCTGGCTCTCAGGAATGGAGACCATGGGGTAGGGTCTCTGTTGCTCTCAGTCAGACCCAGATGTTGGAACTTGGTGGCATTAAAGCCACGTTTACACTTGTGACCGGATGTTGCTTGATACAGATATGAATGTGAGGTGGGTGATTGCCCCTTGATGTAGTCCAGCTGTTCTTCGTCACTTTGGACCTGCTATATTCCCCCACCCCCTTGTGTGTATTCATCCGTTTGTTTTTTTATCTTCTTTGGTTAGATCTGAACAGAAATCAGTGGAAGCTAGAAATAGAAGCGAGATTGCAGAATAATAGAGGGGAGGAGTGGAAATGCCTATGTGGAGACTGGGTGTTATGCTTTCTCCTTGATGGGAAAGGCCCTAGTCTTCTGATGTGGGAAGCCATGGCCCTGATTCTAGCCCAATCTCATCTTTGGGCTTGATTTGCCACTCATTAGACTGCTGTAAATCAAGTGACCCAGCTGAAGTTGGTGACGTTACTCTGGTTCAAAACTGGTGTGGAGAGACTCTGTATTTATACTGCAACCATCAAAGGGTTAGCTCAGTGCCTCACTACCCTATATCTGGCTGATAAAATGAGACATTTGCAAGTTCTGGCTACAGTTGGGACAAAAGATCTGTAATATTAGGTCTTTAAGTAACTGCATGGATTTAGCATGGAAATTCAGAAGGGAGGAGCAGAAATCTGACAAAAGATCATCTGTATCAACTGCTGTTTGTAGTAGGTCATGTGTCTTCTTTTCATACATCTAGGCCCTGGATGATGAGACCTTTATGAAGCCCATCCCTTCACCAGTGGATCAGCAGCAGGTATGCTATGCCTAAAAGGGCTGGTAAATCCTTTTGAAGTTGTAATGCTCTTCTGTGGCTAACTCCTAGAGCAGAGGTTCTCAAACTGTGGTCTATGGATCACCAGTGGTCCACAAGCTCCATTCAGTAGGTCTGCGGATAGTTCCCTCTAAGGTGTGTGTCTGGAGGGCCGCACACGAGAGAATGAAGGGTCACCCACCTAACTAATGGAGCCTCGCAGGCATGACTCCTCTAATTAGGTGCCTGGACCCTGGAGAAGACGCACATGTAAGGTGAGGTGGTGGTCTTGGGGGGAATAAGAGGTAGATGGGAAGGGGCAGAGGGGTGAGAAGAAGGGGTGGGGGGAATTTGGGATGTGCAGGGCTGGGGTGGCCAGAGAAAGAGGTGACTTTCCCCAGCTCCAGGGCTGCGGCTGCTGGGGAGAGACGGCCCTCCTTCCCAGCCCCAGCTCTGTGGCGGGAGAGAGACCCCCACCTCCTTCCCAGCCCCAATTCGGAGGCTGCTGTGGCAGGGTAGAGAGGACACATCCATCACATTAGAAAGGTAAGACTACTGATATTAAAATATGAGTTGTGTGCTTTTATTTGTAGAACAAAAAAAGTTTATTATTGAGGGTTTTTTTATACAGTGCTTTTATCCAACATGCTTTACAATAGATAGCTAACGTTACAAACAACATTTGGAAAGATCATTAAGTGGTCCGCCGAGACCCTCAGCAATTTTCAAGTGGTTCGCCGGAAAAAAAAAGTTTGAGAACCACGGTCCTAGAGGATCCTTGAGTGATGCAGTCATCTTCCTCCATAGTCCTAGCCCTGGCAGACTGGGACGTGTTGGGACTCTGTACTTTCAAGTGCAGCTGAGTAACATGTTTGTTTCAGGTTTCAATACATTGTGTAATGGGTTTTGTAACTCAGATGTGTGTTTCCTGTATTAGCCCAAGTCATTTCCATGGCTTTGGAAACTGACAGTCCCGAATTGGTCTTCACGGGTTTGTGGTGTGGTGAATGGATGAGGAAGTCCCTTCTCTGGTGTTTTTATGCTTTTCTTTTTCTCTCTGACTCTTAGGGTTATAATTTTAAAATAGCCCATTTGACATTTTAAAAAGCTTTCACTCTTGAGCTGGGACAGGGTATTAAATAGCCTGAGGTCTGTGCCCCCTCTTCTGGGCGCTAAAGACCAGAGAACAGCAGACTTTGATCAGATACTACAGAAAGAAAACTGGTAAATTACCATTTTACTGGGAAATCTTTGTTTGATAAACATGTGGGCTGCTGCAAGCTAGTGTTGGCCATCAGAACTTGCCCTTTGCTGACGCACTCAACTTCTAAGCTATAAAGCAATTTATTAATTGCACTGAAACCCAACAGGCAAAATTTCAGCACGGAGTAAAATGTCACAGCTGTAAATTATAAATACTAAAGTTATAAACACTTGAAAATTGGCCTTGCAAAAGGGGTTTCTAGTGTAAACTCAGACAGTATGAACCGCAGTGTTCTGATACATCAACCTTTGCTCTCTGGACCATCTATGTAACAGAAACATCCCAGATTCTTGTTGGCTAGGGCTATGGGAACTGAGACTTGCTCAGACTCCACAGTATTTGAAAGGCCCAGAATTGATGGGTGAGTATTGGGCCTTGCAGCAAATGTAATGTACAAATAAAACCTGTTGTATTCTGGGAACCCCTTGTAGAACAAGGCCTAGAAATGTTTATGGTTCTTGAGTTAACACTTCCGAGTAAATAATTAGAGAAGGGGCGGCTGGTACTGCTAAACCCGTATGGCATTGGACTTTGTGATAGTGAGGTGGGGAAAAAAGCTTGAATGAATATGAAGGAAAATGGGTTTAACTTCAGTTGGTTATTGAAGTGCAGCTTTAAGATCCTGTCTAATGCACTGATGTAGCTACACTGATGATGCTATGCTGGTGCAACCCCTCCATGTATATATCCCACACTGGGCTAAGATGCAATAGCAAAAAAAATTACTATACCACCCCAGGATGGGGGACCAAAGCCTGAGCCCATCCGGTCCCGGGGAGGGGCCAAAGCTCCACTACCCCGGGGATGGGGAAAAGCCAAAGCCCAAGGGCTTCAGCCCCAGAGAGGGGGCCTGTAACCTCAGCCCCGCTGTCCAAGGCTGAAGCCTTCTGGCTTCAGCCCCAAACAGTGGCACTCGGGCTTTGGCCCCTGGCCCCAGCAAGTCTAAGCCAGCCCTGGCGACCCCATTAAAACAGGGTCACGACCCACTTTGAGATCCTGACCCACAGTTTGAGAACTGCTGCACTAGCGTAAGCCCGATTTGTGTCTGCACTAGGGGTTTGTATCGGTGTGACATACTGACACTGATGTAGTTACACTGACGCAAATTTACCTTGTCTAGACAAGCCATTAGATTTTTGCAGCGTGGGGGTGAAGCAGTTTATTTTGGATGTTGCAGAATGAGCAAAAATCTTTCTTGGTTTTGGCTAAGTCAGCACAGTCCTGGTCTGACTCTGATGTCAGAATCTGCTGAGTTTCCCCTTTTAGAGAAAGCAGATCACTGGAGCTGAGTTGGTCTCAAGCGTTTTACACCATATAGTGAAATAAAAACCTGAAATGCGCTTGACTAAACATATCCCACTCGAGGTTTGGTGATCTATGGCTCAGGGGGCTGGATGGCTCAGGTGACGGACAGTAGAGTTCCCTGGCAGTCACGGGGGAAAGATGTGGTAAGTCATGGCAAAAAATGCAATCGACAGTTTTTCTAAAGTCTCATGTCCTGTTATATTGTGCAAAACCCCTCTCCCCCCAAAAAATGTTAAAGGACCAGGAACAGAAGAAAATGGGTCATAGCAACAGCTCTTAAGCCCCATTGCTGAAGGCCTGGTCTGCATCTTCAGCTTCTCTGGAGCGGAAAGTGTTGCACGAAGTCCTAGGAGTGGGGAAGAGGGAGTCATGGAATCCATTGCAATAATAACCACTGGAGTCAGTGGACTCTGACCCCTATGATAAACACCCCAGCTCTATGCCAGAGTTTAGAAGCCACTGTCTCTGGTGGTTTCTGTGACTGTTGTTACCTGAGACAAATTGCCAAATAGACATCTGGTAGATGTGTGCTGTAACCCGGAAAGCAGGCTTGAGCCCCGTGAAGGCCTTTCCCAGGCCGCCCTTCTTAAAACCCCCCAATGAAAAAGAAAAATTAGAAATTTTTTTCTCCATTAGTGGGCTGGGTAAACTAAGTCCCATTATGCCGGAACCCATCAGCCGACCATTGTTCCTCCGCCCTGAGTTCAGTGGCTTTCAAAATGAACATCCTTCCAATGATCCAGAGGGCCGTGAGTGTTTGTTATAACACTAAACTCTGCATTTTGGTAAGGCAAACACTTTTGTTACTTGAAAGAGGGCGTCCTGGGGTGGGAGACTTCACAGCAGTGCTGCCAGGCTGCTATAGCTGCACCGTGTTATGGAGGGTGATTGGTGTTGAGTTTGCAAGTGAATGATTCTCTTTGAAACATTTCGGAGTAGCAGCCGTGTTAGTCTGTATTCGCAAAAAGAAAAGGAGGACTAGTGGCATCTTAGAGACTAACCAATTTATTTGAGCATAAGCTTTTGTGAGCTATAGCTCACTTCATCGGATGCATCCGATGAAGGGAGCTGTAGCTCACGAAAGCTTATGCTCAAATAACTTTGTTAGTCTCTAAGGTGCCACAAGTACTCCTTTTCTCTCTTTGAAACATTATTATTATTTAATTGCATCCCAGTAGCATCTAATGCCTCCAGCCAGGGTTGGGGGAACCCACTATTCTGGGCACTGTACATACCAGAATAGAAAACAGTCCCTGCTGCAAAGAATTCACAATCTTACCAACAAGACAGGCCGACAGATACAGCAAACAACAAAAAAACAATGTGCCAAGCAGCAGCATTCCAAATCTTCCATTAATGGGCTGAGGCTGCGAGCCTAAGTATCGACATATAAACACGCACACATACACGTAGTGGTGTTGGAACAATTTGTATGGGGGTGCTGAGAGCCATTGAACCAAACTGTAAATCCTGTATATGATGGAAACCTCTTCAAGTCGGGGGTGCTGCCTTGCGCCCAGCACCCCTAGTTCCAGCAGCCCTGCATACACACACACACTACAGTTTACCCCTCCTTTAGCTCCCTTTGCATCTTCCTAAGCAACTCTTAGATCCAGTCAGTCCCTGTCTTAACTGACCTTGCCTAGAGAATTATTGCTGAGTAATACCTGCCTTCTTACTCTTCGGAATGGAATGTATTCTATCCGCAGCTCTTCCAGCCCCTGCTGACGAACAGAACAAGAGACTGAATCCAAGATCCATATCTCAATGCTTGGTGCTGCAGTGCAAAGCGATAATTAGATCACCAGCCACTCCTGGTCTTTGCCTCTTTCATACCTGATCAGTGCAAGTAAATGCATTGAAAAAAAATCCCTAAATTGTGCATTTTAAGTGTTTTTGGATAAACTGAGCTAAAACACTGATTCATAGCTATTAAGGTCAGAAGGGACCATTATGATCATCTAGTCCGACCTCCTGCACAAAGCAGGCCACAGAATTTCACCCACCCACTCCTGCCAAAAACCTCTTGCCTATGTCTGAGCTATTGAAGTCCTCAAATCGTGGTTTAAAGACTTGAAGGAGCAGAGAATCCTCCAGCAAGTGACCCGTGCCCCATGCTACAGAGGAAGGCGAAAAACCTCCAGGGCCTCTTCCAATCTGCCTTGGAGGAAAATTCCTTCCCGACCCCAAATATGGCGATCCGTTAAACCCTGAGCATATGGGCAAGACTCACCAGCCAGATAGTACAGAAAATTCTTACCTGGGTAACTCAGATCCCACCCCATCTAACATCCCATCACAGGCCATTAGGCCTATTTACCATGAATATTTAATTATCAAAACCATATTATCCCATCATACCATCTCCTCCATAAACTTACCGAGTTTAATCTTAAAGCCAGATAGATCTTTTGCCCCCACTGCTTCCGTTGGA